GTGATTGTTTTCCCCCCCCCCCCCGCTTTGTCTTTCTGTGTCTAAGCTCAGGAGATTGGGGAAACTTCTTGATTCATCCTTTGGCCGAGTGATTTCATAGCTGCCTGACCTCGTGTCACCGTGGCCACGGCGCCTCTGGATGCTGTGAGTCGTCGGAGAGGGGATGGGATCAGCCGTGCTTCCTATCATCACCTCGGTAGTGACTAACAGAGGAGGGTGGGAAACCAGAGCAGCTGAGTAAAAGCAAATAGGAAGATCATCCTGCTGGGGTGGTGTCATGGGCTACTGACCTCGAGGTTTGACGTGACTGACTGCCATGGGGTTTTCCAGCGCTCCTTGCAGCCAAAACCCTGCGGGTGTTGACTGACTCGCTTGGAAATGTTGGGTTTCGTGTGTGGTGACTTTCTTCAGTCCTTTCGAACTTTTCGGATAAAGTTGGAGAGTTGGCATTGATGGTCTGTGGAGTCAGCTTTCCACTGAAGCCAGCTTTCCGAGGTTTAAAAGTCTCGTGCTGTCACTGCAGGGAGTTGAGGCAGTGCTAGGCCTCTGCTTTCGAGGTGTGTGAGCCGCACCTTAAAAAGAAAAGCTCTGCCCGCCTTGGTCTGTCCCATTCTGCAGCCTGATGAGCAGAGGCAAGAAGGCTTTTCTCTGCACCAGAGTGGTTTGGAAGTGTGGCTCTGGCAAAGCAATCTCTGCGAGTTTGCAGCTGAAAATGGGGAATGGAGCTGAAGAACTTGATTTGAGTTTCTAAAAGATCAGGAAAATCCTGTCTAAAATGTAAAGTGTAAGAATCGTTAAGGCACTTTGCAATCCAGAATGAAGTAAGCTCTGAACTGCGGTGTATAATAAAGAATTATGTAGCTATTTATAGATGTCTGTCTCGTGCTAGATGCTCCTAGTATTCCTCAAATGCTGCCTCTAATTTTTAGGAAATAAGGCTATATACTAGAGTAGAATGGAGTGAATGAAAGCAATCTGTGTGAACTGGAGAACAATCGATACTCATTGGGAGACTGCTTTTGGTTTTAGGTGCTCCAGTAAGGAGGGTTTGACTGGGGTGAAAACTTCTGCGGCACCATTTCGAGGACCCTTGGAGTACTGTGTCCAGTTCTGGGCTCCCCAGTTCAAGAGAAGATGAGGAGCTACTGGAGAGAGTCCAGCAGAGGGCTACGAGGATGGTGAGGGGACTGGAGCATCTCTCCTGTGAGGAAAGGCTGAGGGAGCTGGGCTTGTTCAGCCTGGAGAAGAGAAGGCTGAGAGGGGACCTTAGAAATGCCTCTAAATATCTGCAGGGTGGGTGTCAGGAGGACGGGGCCAGACTCTTTGCAGTGGTGCCCAGTGACAGGACAAGGGGCAACGGGCACAAACTGAAGCAGAGGAAGCTCCAGCTGAACCTGAGGAAGAACTTCTTCCCTCTGAGGGTGACGGAGCCCTGGCCCAGGCTGCCCAGGGAGGCTGTGGAGTCTCCTTCTCTGGAGATATTCAAGCCCTGCCTGGACGTGGTCCTGTGCAGCCTGCTGTGGGTGCCCCCGCTTGGGCAGGGGGTTGGACTGGGTGACCCACAGAGGTCCCTTCCTACCCCGACCAGTCTGTGATTCTGTGAAGGTTTGAGCCCGTCTGTTGGGAGTGACTGTGAGGGTGTGGGAAGCAGAGCAGGCAAGCAGCTTTCCTTCCAGGGAGAGCTGCAGAGAGATGGAGGGAGAGAAGGCGAGTTGCACCGGCGAGGTGCTGCGGTCTGTTAGGAGCAGGGAAACGGCATGGCTTCAGAGGATGCTTTGCTGCTTCTGGAAGGCACCTCGTGCCTGTGGCTTCCCTTTTTGAGCTGGGAGAGCACTGGTGCCCTGCTCGGTGGGCCGCAGTGGGAGGCTGAGGACTTACAGTGTTTGTCCTCTTGTGCAGATTCTTGCTCTTCTTGCTGAGCGTGGCTCTCAGCTCCACGTCTCCTCCTTCACGCAGATCTGCCCATGCCTCGCTCCTTCCCTTGCTGGGGGTGCTCCCGTGCTCCTCCATGCACGTTCTGGTTGAGGTGGGGTCTCCGAGAGCCCCCGAGCCCTCGCACTGAGCTGTTGAAGGTAATGAACCTCCTCTCCAGCTGTGTCCTGGAAACAGGGCACTGTTGTGTTCAGCCTTTTTCCTTGCTCTGCGCAGGGGCCCAGCGAGAAGAGGCTCTTCCTTCCCTCTGTTCCAAGCAGCATCTGCATTTTTGCCTTTTATTATTTTATCTATTAGTAGGTAGTCCTGAATAAAGTGCATCTTCGAGTGGCTTTGTAACTGTGAAACTGTTATTGCTAGTGGTACCTCAAGTGCAAGGGATGGATGAAACGCTATTTCGAGAGACTGATTCGTGTACTCGGACAGTTAAGAGATGCTTACAGCAAATGAGGAAAACAGGAACGAATTTCACTCCGCGAGTGAAACGACGTTTAAAACACTTGGCCTGCAAACGTCGCTTCTGGTAGATTTGAGATGAGGTTGGCTATAAAATGACGTTTGGCGTGACACGCTTTTGACTTGGTTTTAATGCGGGTGAAATGCGGTTACGGCCGAATCCAGTTGGACTGCCTCGCGCGTCGCGGGCCTGCCTGTCTCGCTCCGTTTTGCTCTGCCTGCTTTTCTGGCCCTGCGCTGGGTAAAAGGTGCTTCCGTGTGCACCGTGCCGAAACGCCTGAAGCGTTCTAGGAGAGAGCTCGCTGCCGGTGTGTCCTGGCAAACCGTCATTCAGTCCCCAGAACTCAAAGAACTCGAAGACAAATGCTCCGTTAACTTTCTGCTTCTCTTTCGGGCTGTATTTACCCAGTTAGAGAGAGAAATTCCACGTAGGTGTGTAACATTACATCGAAAGCCTGCTTTGCGTGCAGCAAACTGCTTGAACTCCTGCTTGATAGTGCAAGGAGTGGCTCCTTCATCCCGTGGGGATGAGGAAGGTTTAAATAACGCTTATCGATAACGGGAAGCTAGTGGCGAGTTCTCAGTAAATCAGTTTTATCTGTGTCCTAGGCAGGCTGCGATACACACCCTTCTCTCGCTTGTGAATGTTTCATTTGCTTTTAGGTCGTGGTTGTCAGTGTGTCAGCAGGCTTAAGTGCGTGTGTGAGCCTTTACTCCTTTTGCAGAATCTTAGAAATACCCAATCAATAGGAAAAAAAAACCCATAACTCACCAGTATTTGTGGGATAATCATGAACATGGCTGTCGTAGAGGAAAAAGCCAGTCACGTTTATTGCCTGTCTGATAGCAATGGAGCAGATGACGGGCTGAAACGGCCCCAGAAACGTTGCTAAAATGATTTGTGGCTGTTGGTGTCAGAAGTCCGTTTGGGAATAACAGGTAGAAGTTGTTAGCGCTTTCTCTCGTGTGGCCTGCGGAGATAAAAACAGCTGCTGCTGGTTTCACCCGACGGTTTCTTGAAACTCTCAAAACAGCTGAAAATAGATGGCTTTCTTGTGGCTTTCTAAACTTAGACGCCTTGCTAAACTCCCATGTGTTTCCTTCAAACAGGTTGCAAAATAAAAGCGCTACGGGCCAAGACAAACACCTACATTAAGACGCCTGTTCGCGGAGAAGAGCCCATCTTTGTTGTCACTGGACGAAAAGAGGACGTAGCCATGGCCAAAAGGGAAATTCTCTCGGCTGCCGAGCACTTCTCCATGATCAGAGCGTCGCGCAACAAGAACGGCCCTGCCCTGGGAGGCTTGCCATGTACGCCCAGCCTGCCGGGTCAGACGACAGTCCAAGTCAGGGTGCCTTACCGCGTCGTTGGGCTCGTGGTTGGACCCAAGGGAGCTACAATCAAAAGGATTCAGCAGCAGACCCACACCTACATAGTCACTCCCAGCAGAGACAAGGAGCCTGTCTTCGAAGTGACGGGAATGCCCGAGAACGTCGACCGCGCACGTGAGGAGATCGAGATGCACATCGCCATGCGGACCGGGAACTACATCGAGCTGAACGAAGAGAACGATTTCCACTACAACGGTACGGACGTGAGCTTTGAAGGAGGCCCTCTGGGCTCTGCGTGGCTGGCTTCTAATCCTGTCCCTCCTAGCCGCACCAGGATGATTTCTAATTATAGAAATGACATTTCCAGCTGAACGAAGAGAACGATTTCCACTACAACGGTACGGACGTGAGCTTTGAAGGAGGCCCTCTGGGCTCTGCGTGGCTGGCTTCTAATCCTGTCCCTCCTAGCCGCACCAGGATGATTTCTAATTATAGAAACGACAGCTCCAGCTCCTTGGGAAGTGGCTCCACAGATTCCTATTTTGGAAGCAATAGATTGGCTGACTTCAGCCCAACGAGTCCATTCAGCACAGGCAACTTCTGGTTTGGAGAAACGCTGCCTTCGGTGGGCACGGAAGACCTCGCCGTCGACTCTCCCGCGTACGACTCCTTACCAGCTCCTCCCCAAACCATTTGGACCCCTTTTGAACCCGTCAACCCTCTTTCCGGCTTCGGTAGCGACCCTGCTAGTACTGCCAAGCCTCAGCGCCGAGGGAGCCAGCCGTCTCCTCCCCCCCCGTC